AGTCGAAATAATCCATTTTGTCACTTTTTTAAAGTACTGAATGTTGGCTAAAATATAATTTAATTTCTGCTGATCATTACCAAAACAATCAGCATTTTAGTTATAGCCGATGTTGCTCAATTCAGATGCCACACAAAAAACATTTGACATTAACAATTGGTAGTTATTTGATATATCACTAGGTAAAATAATACAATTCGTTATATTTAAAGTGCTGAAAGTTAGCTAAAATATAGTCTAATTTTGCTGATCATTACCAAAAAATCAGCATTTTTAATAAATAGAAAATTGGCTACCAATCAGTATTTATGTTAAAAATTGATCAAAATTCAGCTTAAAATCAGTCAACAATCAGCAAAAATAATTAAGCAACTATTTATAAAATCAAAACTAATAAAACTCATTTATTATTTATTTATGATTTATAACTTTATTTTATTATTACATAATAAATTACTCAAAAAAATATATATTGTATTATATTTTATTCCAAAAAGATACATTCAATTTTTTAAAGATAAGAAAAAATAAAGAAATCAGTTAAAAAACACCTTTAAAAGGCTAATCTTAATTTATTTCTAAAAAATAAGTAAAGAAAAAATAAAGAAAATGGTTAGAAAACTACTAAAATACCACATCCGAAAGGCTTACTTTAATGTATTCCTAAAAAAAATAAAGAAAACAGTTAGAAAACCCATAAAAATACCACTTCTGAAAGGCTTACCTTAATATATTCCTAAAAAAAGTAAAGAAAAAATAAAGAAAACAGTCAGAAAAACACCAAAATATCACCTCTGAAAGGCTTATCTTAATGTATTCCTAAAAAAAAAGTAAAGAAAAAATAAAGAAAACAGTTAGATAACCACCAAAATATCACTTTCAAAAGGTTAATCTTAATGTATTGCTAAAGAAAGTAAAGAAAAAATAAAGAAAACAGTTAGAAATAAAATACCACTTCTGAAGGCTTATCTTAATATATTCCTAAAAAAAAATAAAGTAAACAGTTAGAAAACCTACCAAAATACTACCTCCGAAAACTTACCTTAATGTATTGCTAAAGAAAGTAAAGAAAAATAAAGAAAATAAGGTTAAAAACCATCCAAAAGTACCATTCGAAAGGCTTACCTTAGTTTTGAAAAAAAAAATTTCCTAAAAAAATGAGAAAAAGAGTTAAAAACCACAAAAAGTTACTTCCGATTTGCTTACCTTAATTCCTAAAATAAGAATTTTCTAAAAAACAAGAATAAAGAAAAGAAAATATCACAAAAGTCACTTCCAATTTGCTTACCTTAATTCCAAAATAAAAAATTTCCAAAAATTGCCTCACTAGGAAAAAAAAAAAAAAAAGAAAAAATAATTTTTTTCAGAATATTTTGAAAGTTTATTAGTTTTATATTTTAAACTGAACTAAAATTTCAAAATTTAGATATTATTTTTTACTTATCATAAATGTTACAAATGAATGATTTTGCATCATCCAATTGCAAAATCAACGATATTTTGATTATTTCTAAAAACGATATAGAAAATCATTTTAAAGAAATGATAATTTGATTGTTCCTTAAGAATGATATAAAAAATCTTTCGAAAGGAACAATAGTTTGATAGTTCCTTAAGAACAATATAAAAAATCATTCTAAAGAAATGATAATTTGAACGATAATGTATTGTTCCTTAAGAATAATGAAAAAATTGTTCTTTCAGAACGATGATATATCGTTCCTTAAGAACGATAAAAAATCATTGTTCTTTCAGAATAATAATGTATCATTCCTTAAAAATGATAAAAAAATCATTCTTTCAGAATGATGAAGAATCGTTCCAAAAGGATGATGAAAAAATCATTCTTTCAGAACAATAATGTATCGTTCCTTAAAAATGAAAAAAATCATTCTTTTAAAATGATAATTGAATTGTTCTTCAGAATGATGATACATCATTCCTTTTGAGACGATTTCTATCGTTTCTTTGGAAATGATATTTCGTTCCTTTTGAGATGATTTCTATCATCTCTTTTGTGATGATTATATTGTTTCTTTGGGAATGAATGTATTGTTTCTTTGAAATTATTGTATCCTTTCTTTTGAGATGATTTCTATCATCTCTTTTAGAATGATTATATCGTTCCTTTAGAGACAATTGTATTGTTTCTTTGGAGATGAATGTATTATTCTCTTGAGACGATTGTATTATTCCTTTTGTGATGATTTCTATCGTCTCTTTGGAAATGATATTTCATTCTTTTAGGAAAGATTTCTATCATTTCTTTGGAAATAATATTTCATTCCTTTTAAGATAATTTCTATCGTTCCTTTATATCGTTCCTTTTAAGACAATTTCTATCTTCTTTTTAGGAACGATATTTCATTCCTTTAGGAACAATTTCTATCATCTCTTTTAGGACGATTGTATCATTCCTTTTGAGACGATTTCTATCTTCTCTTTGAAAATAATTTTTCATTCCTTTTGAGATGATTTCTATCATCTCTTTTGGGACGATTGTATCATTTCTTTGGAGATGATTATATCATTCTTTGAGAACGAATGTATTGTTCCTTTAGGGATGAATGTATCGTTCCTTTGGGATGAATGTATTGTCTCAAAGAGACAATTACTCTCAAAATATTTTTATAATTTTCGTAAAAATCAGCTCAGCAGATTTCGACTAGTGAGATATAGTCGATTTGTTGCCAAATCTTGAGTCTAACTGAAATTTGCTGAATATTATAACTGAAAGGTCTTAATGCTGAAATAATGCTAAATTATGTGTAATATAACAAATTACTATCAATTTTTGTAATTTAAGCTGATTTTTTTCTGAATCATATGACCGAATCGGCTGAATGTTTAACCAAAGATCTAATGCTAAAATAATGTTAAATTATGTGTGGTGTAATAAATAACTATTAATTTTTGTAACTTAAGCTGAATTTTGCTAAATCATATGACTGAATCGGCTGAATGTTAACCGAATGGTATTAGTGCTAAATGAAAAAATTTTGACCAGTGAATAAAACTTATAAATAAAAATCTTTATTTATTTGAAAATTATTACATTGCATATAGATTAGTATTGGCTTGTAATTCAGCTTAAAATATATGGCTTTTTATAAATATATCAATAATTTCTTAATAATGCTAAAAAATGAGTTGATACTTTAAGGCAATTTTAGTCAGTATTGGATCACCTAATTTTAAAAATAAAGAATATTTTTGAGATTAGATAATTATCTTAGTATTGTTAATGTGTGATTTTAGTGAATTACTACAGTTAAATAAGGTGTTTAAGTGTTATTTCTTTTTAATATATGTAATAATCTACTGATTTATTCCTAAGTTTTGGACTTATAACTGGTATCACTCAGATATATTAAAACTATATTTTATTAAACCTTATATATTATCACAAAGATTCATAATAGCTGTAGTTGTTATGAAGGTTTAAAATATCATTCTGATTTATGAAGATTTATAATATCACTCAAATTTATAAGATCACACAGATGTATAATATTACTCAGATGAAATGTAAAATATCATACAGATGTATAAGATAAATAATAAAACAGTTTATTAATAAATAATAAGAAAAAAAATAAGAAAAAAAAAATAAAGAAATAATGTAAAGAAAATAAGAAAAGAGTATTTTACTAAGACAAAAAAACACACAGCTATTGTAGATATTTCTACAAGAATTATTGCACATAGCTAAGTTGAATTCTCTATTATAAAGATCTAATTATCTTATATTCATGAAAGTTTTAATGTCATAAGCTGAAAGATTTATATGTTATAATATTTCTGGAAAATTATTGCACACAGCTGAGTTGAATTCTATGGGAGGTTTACTAGGAAAATGTGGCTCTGAGCATTTTTTATTAAAATTTTAATATATGTTGCATTTTAATCTAACATTATCAAAAATTAAAATGCAATAAAAATTTCTCAAAGCCTCATTTTCCTAGAAAACCTCCTATATAGTTATAAATTTTTTAAAATAATATAAAATCAGATTGAAAACTGATTTATGTAATTCTACCTAATAATTATGATTATGATATTAACTGATTTATACTCAATTGTAGTATTTACTGATTTCTATCTATTGATTGCTGATCAAAAATAGTGACTAATTAGAAAGGTACCCAATTGATCAGCGTTTGACCTGTGTTAATTTTGCAGAATTATCTCTTATTATCAAACAAAAATGATAAGAAAATTTTGAATTATAGACTTGTAAATTAAACAGAAAGTTATTACTTCCAGTTAATTACAGAAATATGTGAATAAAATTAGATGGTTTTATTATTTACTTCAAGTTTTATACTATTCATTAAATAAATAAATTCTAATAAGTATTTCAAGGATTTATGAAAATCAGATTTTTACCAATAGAAGATTCTAATATTGATAAATATCCTAAAAGTTGCTTTGCATATAATTTATTATGACATTATGTTAAAATATTACCAATTAATATATGTATTGGATATAATTGCCTTTTTTCTAATACAGCATATCAGTGGTTATAACATCTGAATATAAAATAATTGATAATAATTTAGATTCATAAGGTAAGGAAGTTTCTGTAGTTTTCTATTATAATTCATTATTTTATTCTTTATATTGGGCCTTTGCAATAAAAAGGAGGGAAACTGCCGGGAAAAATTAATTTTCTTTTATATACCAAATATATGGGAGCGTTTCCAGTAAAATCACATTACGGATCATATGATTTACTATGCCTCATGACTTGATTTTACTGGAAACGTTCCCATATGCTCTTGGTAGAGTCTTATCAACTCTTCGTGTAATTGAGCCCGCATCATCTCCCAGTCTTTGCAATCATCATAGCTCTGGTAAAGAAACGAAAAGAAACAGGTCAGCAGTACAGTCACAGATTGTTTACAAACACAGATAAAAACACTACCATACCTTGAAAGAGATATGTATAACTGGATACTTGCAGAAGTGTTCGTCGAACAAGTCTAACCTTTCCATCACCTTAGTGTTCTTGAACAACTCACGCCGGTAGTCCATATTGTCGGGATAGTTGGAATGGAAAAGAAATTTCTGAGCATGGAGATATTTGTTGTCTTTCCAAACCGTCTTGGACGCATAATTATAGAGACAACTGAATTACATTCAAGAAAGTCGGCGATGAGGAGAGTTTTGTCGAGTAAAGTAAAATCTCGATTCAAAATCTGATCAAAACTACTAATTCCAATAGGTATACCTTTGCCCGCAAAAAGAGTAACGGTTCCTTCTATAATAGAATCAAAGAGGATTAGTTTCTTTCCTTGACAATAAAATGATCGGTGTATATACTCTTAATAATGTTTTGCTTCTTTGACAAAGGCACTAGAAGAAAAAAATCAACTTGATTAGAATAAGTTCGATGAAAATAGCAATATTGGAAAAAAATAAAAAAATAAATGCCTATTATTTTCGCTGATCGGCTTGGGGGTGGGGTATGTTTTCTTTTTCATCGTGCTAGATATATAAAATAAAAATTAATGAATGTTCACTAAGTAGTTATATTCTAATACTATAGCAAAAGAAAGATTCTTTATAATAATAAAAAGGAAGGTACATAGCCGAATCCTCCTCCAGAATCAGCAGACCTTATTTAAAGAAACTTCTTTAGATTGCATTTTGTGGACAGAGAACGAATCACTTTTCGATCTTGCGCAATCACCCTTAGGCAGTGTTGGAAAAAATGAACTCGGACAATATAGCCTCGCCAGTTAACACTGCCCTTAGGCGATCTCACAAAGGCAACCCAGGTGAGTATATTTTTTAAGTGAGATTTTATGCATGGCTAAAATCCGAGAATAAGGGGTTTTTACTATACGCGTCTGTTACAAATCACATGATCTAAATCACATGTCCTTTCCAGGGACGATGATCTCCGGCGGAGAAAATTTTCAAAATCTGCCGGCGCTTATTTTAAAATCTGCTCTGCTTTCTGCGGCTTATGATTATCATTTCTGCTG